GGGATCGGGCAGTGTTTCGTTCTGCTGTGCATGGGGTCGCTATGAGTCGGAAATGACTTGACGGCACTTAACAACAACAACAACAACATATACCACCATAATGGATTATTTGTCTGATATTGTCTGGTGAATTTTGTGAATTTTATAAGTTTTACAATATGTTCTCCTAGTGGTATCCCATATATAACCAATTTTCTCTTCAGCTGCACAATTCTAGATGCTCATTTATAACAATGGTGCTCGATACCTGATTTACTACTGAAAGCCACCAAGCACTGGCTTCCAATTCTATTAATTAGCGTGAGCTGACAACAGTTTTCTTTCTTAAATAAACACCTAATTGTCAGCCTGTAGCTTTTTCTGATTCAACCCTAGAATATAAGTGACATGAGGGCATGGCTTTTTGCTCATATTCTCAGGCTTCTAGGACAGTGCCTAGCACATAGCAGGAACTTGGTGACTGAAATATTCACTGAATGAATGGATTGATTTGGCACCTGTTGAGGAACAACCTTCTCCTCTCACATACACACACATACGGGTTGAAACGCTCGTCTCTCCTTTTCCACAGGAGTGGTTGTGTTCCAATTGTTTTGTCTGCTTTCTACATGCCAGCATTTCCCAGGATCACATCTTCACTCCTCCCTTCTTGTTCCATATTCTCCATGTAACTTTATCCCTTCCCATACACACCAAGCACCCCCCAATCTAAAACAGATCTAACCATGTCACTCTCCTGCTTAAAAAACAGTGATGACTCTCTATTACCTACAGACAAAAGTCCAAGCTTGTCTACCTCAGCATTTTACTCTGTCCTCACCCCAGTACACATGAACCCCTTCCTATAAAGTAGCCTGTGCTCCAGCCCCAAAGAACTATTCAAGTTTCCCAAGTGCACCATGCTTGATGTTTCAATGCTTCCATATTTGTTCCACCTGAAATATTCCTCATCCCCCCTCAGCTACCAGATGAAATCCTAGTTCAAGGCCCAAAACAAACACCACTTTTGTTTGAAGCCTTTCCAGACCTCCACTCAGACAGAATGACCTACCCCACCTGTGCTCCCGTAGCCTTTTGTACATACCCCCAAGCATTTATCACATCACAACAGGTTGCCTATTCCTCCACTGGGCTCCGAGCTTTTTTAATACTAAAGACCACAACTTACTCATCTTTACAGATCCAGCCCCAGCTCAGTGGTGAGTACTTGGTATGCCCCCAAAGGATTACAGGTTGATTGAACTGATTCTACTTGCAGAAAAGACAAATTACAGTTATCAAATGCTAACAGAATCACATCCTAGCACCATTTCAACAAAGCACAATAAAGGTATTGCTACATTAAAAGAAGTTAGAGAACTATCACAAACGTCAAAGGACTGGGTCCAAGTGGACAATGTGTTCAGCACTACACGGAGATTTACATTCCTCAGAACTAGACCCCAAAACAACAGGGAAATCCTAGAATGAGAGTGTCGACCTCTTACCTCCGGAGATACACAGTTTCCTCATCTTCTGTATTACAAAACTTATGGGCGTGTTTGGCAGCATCAATCACACGAGACCGATCCCGGGGCCTCATGGGTAACTTCTCTAACTGACAGTCTGAAGGAATGGAGAAAGATTTGGTCACTAGAGCCACTGAAATATACCCTGGGGCAATCAAAAGCTTTCACTAGAGCCCTTGGCACTTAATTTCTTTATTTACCACAATTGCTACGCTTATTGAAACCTAGCATTGAATTTTCCAACTAAAAATGACTTCGTGCCAGGAGACCTGGATTTTGCTTCCAGCTGTGACAACTCTTGTGATCTCTGACAAATCATTTCTTCTTTCTTGGTTTCTCCTCTCATTTGAAAGACTGTTGTTAGTTGCTGTTGAGTTGATTTTGACTTGTGGCAACCCTGTGTGTGCAGAGTCGAACTGCTCCATAGGGTTTTCTTGGTGGTGACCTTTCAGAAGCACATTGCCACGTTGATCTTCCAAGGCACTTCCGGGTAGGTTCAAATCAACAACCTTCTGGCTAGTAGTCAAGTACTTAATCGTTTGTGCTATCCAGGGACTCCTATTAGAAAGATATGTGGATAATATTACCTTAAATCCTCTTCCAAGAACTGCAATTCAAGTTTGCTGCGAGTATTTCTGAGACCTGGTTTGTGTTATAGTGCAGCAGAATCAGAGAAACCCACTGAGCATTCTGGAATGTGTGTGAGGGAAGTACTGGAAAAGGTGGGTAAGTGATATGGAGAGAAAGGGTAGGTAGGATACAAAATATATATATAGCATGCAAAGGATCTACCTCATTTGGAGTTTTAATCTGAAAACAATGAACATCTACAGGAAACAAATTAGATTCAGTTATAAAGCAGATGGAAAATTGATAATAATGTAAATCAAGTACCTAAGGGGTCATAGACAAAGTCAAATGATCTGAATGACTGGGGTTAATGGGGGAGGTAGACGGCAGTTAGAGAACACTTAACAGTTTACATATTAGCTCATTTACTCTTCACAGCAACCAGATGAAGTACGTATTATTCTTATTTTAAAGATGAGGGAACGGATGCTCAAAAAGGGTAAGAGATTTGCCAGGCTTCTAGTAAAAAGCAGGACAAGAATTGAGATCCAGCTGTGGATGATTCAAAGCTCATGCTCTTTCCACCACACCTCCTTGCCATTCACTCTTTCATTTATTCAATGAATATCTGTGGGCCCGCTATGTGCCAGGCACTATTCTAACACCGTACAGGTGATTAGGCAAGCAGAGGAACAGACAAAATTCTGCCCTGATGGAGGATACATTCTAGTGGAGGCAAAAAACTTAAAAAATAAAAAAAATTATGATTTCAGATAGTGATAAGTGCTAGCAAAAAAAAAAAAAAAGACAAAAAATTTAGGCATAAACATCTCAGATAATGATAAGAGCTACCCAGAAAAATCTGGCAGCTTAAGAGGACAAAGAGCAGCAGGGATGCTTTTTTAGGTAAGGCAGTCAGGGAAGAGTTTGCTGAGGAAGTGACATTTAAGCAGGGACCTAAATGAAATGAGGGACACTGAGGGAAGAGTGTTCGAGGCAGAAAAAATACAAAATTCCTGGGGCAGGAACACTTTTTGACATGGTGGAGAAAAAGCAAGAACGCCTGTGTGGCTGAAATGCAGTGAGCAAGAAAAAGAGCATTAGGAGATGAGGTCTGAGAGGTGGCTAGGGGCCTGATGGTGTAGCGACCTGATCATGGTACAGACTTTGATTTTGTTCTAGATGTTATAGGACTCTGAGACCAGAAGAACTAGATTTTGTCATCTACCGCTACTGACCGTTCTGATCTGGGCCACAATAGATTGACCCTGATAGAAAAGAAGAAAACATGGAACAGGACTCAAATTCTTCAAAAGCCCAGACCTACTGGACCAGTTGAGACCAGAGGACTACCTGAGACTCCAAACAAAAAAAAAAACAACTCAATGCCATCAAGTCGGATCTGACTCATAGTGACCCCTCCTTGGGTTTCTGAGGCGGTATCACTACAGAAGTAGATTGCCCAATCTTCCTTCCGAGGACTGGCTGATGGGTTTGAACTGCCAGTCTTCTGGTTAGCAGTCAAATGCCTTAGGCACTGTGCCACCAGAGCTCCTACCTGAGACTATTGCAATGTCTTTAAAACTTGAACAAAAAATATCCCGAGACCACCTTTCAGTGAAATAACAGAGTGGCACACAAGACAAAGGATATCGCCCATAAATACAGTGCCCTACTAAAAAAGTCCATCTCTATGACACTAAAAAGTCAACATTTATTCTAAGGCAAAGATGAGAATATAAGGAGGCAGGGAAACTTGGGTATTAGAAATGAAACAACAAAAAAGCAATTAAAGAGAATGTTGACACATTGTGAAAAATGTAACTAATATCACAGAACAATTTGTATAAAAATTGTCAAAAGACAATTTAGTGTGTAAACTTTCACCAAAAACACAATAAAATATTACTTAAAAAAAATAAAGATTTTGTCCCACTTAGAAAACAAAAGATGTTACTGGAAACCACTGGTTCTGATGGGAAAGTAATTATGGCTGCTGTGCAGAAAATAGACTAGTGGGGCCAAGAATGGAGGCAGGGAGAGCAAGAGAGTACTCCATCAACCTACGTGAGAGATGGTGGTGGCTTGAACTAGGGAGACAGAAATGGTGGCGTTAAGAAGTGGTCCGATTCTGGATATATTTCCAAGGAAGCACGTGTAGGATAGATGTAAGGGGGGGGGGGGAGAAAGAGAGGAGTCAAAGATGATTCCAGGTTTTTTATCTGAACTACCAGAAGAATATTGGTACCACTTGTTGCAATAGAGGAAGACTGTGAAAAGAGCAAGGAGTAGGGGATCATGAATTTGAATTTGAACATGATATATTTGAGAGGCCTATTAGATATTCAAGGAGCTCTGGTAGCATAGTGGCTAAGACACTTGTCTGCTAACCAGACGGCTGGAGGTTCAAACCCACCAGCAACTCCTCGGAAGGAAGGTTGGGAAATCCTACTTCCATAGTGATACTGCCTTGGAAACCCAAGGAGGGGTCGCTATGAGTCGGGGCCGACTCGACAACACATAACAACAACAACAACATTAGATATTCAAGTGGCAATGTTAAATAGGCAAGTGTAGTTTCAGAAAAGGTCCAGGTTAAAAATGAACATTTGGGAGTCAGCAGCATATAAGTGGTATTTAAAGCTTGGAATTAATTCACTGAAACAACCTGGGGAGTGAGTTCAGATTGTGAACAGAGTGGAGAACCGAGACTTAGGGCCTTGCAATGCCTAACATCTGAGAGAGGACAAGGAGTCAGACACTGAGGAGGAGGAGGAAAATCTGAGGTAGGAGGAAAAATCAGGACAGTGTGGAGTCTTTGGAAGCAAATGAAGAATACATTTCAAGCAGGGAGTGACCCAACAACAACAAAAAAACCATGGCCCAGACAGCTTCACTAGCGAATTCTACCATTCAGAGAAGAGCTGACATCAATTCTACTAAAACTATTCCAGAATACAGAAAAAGATGGGATATTCTGAACTCATTCTATGAAGCAAGGATAACCCTCATACCAAAACCATGCAAAGCCACCATTAAAAAAGAAAATTATAGAACAATATCTGTCATGAACATAGATGCAAAAATTCTCAACAAAATCCTAGCCAATAGAATCCAATAACATACAAAAAT